TATATATATATATATGCATCGTGTGGCACGGATGCAATATCGTGTTAAATTTCATTGCTAAGATTAAAACGCGTGCTGTCATAATAACAGCATTTTTACAAAATATTTTTAAAAAATAAAAGCAAACAAAACCACTAGAAAAATTAAATATTCCTATAGCTCGCTAAGCTAACAATTTGAATTACAGGTGTAAAAATGAACAAAAATCAAATATACAGACAAACATAAGCTGTCGAAAATTGAAGAAACTTTAAATTTCACCGCCAATGGTAATGTTGTTGTTGTAGTTCATTTACGTTGTACTAGAGCTGCACAATGGGCTATTGGCGACTGTCTGGGAAACATTCCTGAGGATGATCCGAAGACATGCTAACACAATTTTTAACAAGGTCCAATACCTCACACCCACGGTCCCTAAGCAGACTAATCCAAGTGGTCACCCACCCGCACACTGACCGTAGACAGTGATGCTCGACTTAGGTGGTCTGCTGGGAACCGTGTCTTAACGATCAGTCCCCTGCGGGACCCAATGGTAATGTAAAATAAATTAGTGATACCATCGTTTTAATCGCCTCTTAATTTTGTATTATCAGTATGAGGTTCTCTTTCAGAGATCGTTAAAAAGAGCTATCTAAACAAGAATCTCACTCAAATATTTAGAATACATTTTTATCTACTTCCCAAGTAGCACAATTCACGAACACGATATCGTAAAAACTTAGATTTGACCATTGTACAATATCGTAGCGAAACATTGTACTATATAAAAATGGACCCCTTTTATAACGTATATCCAATATCGCGAAACAATATTGTTTGATATTGTAAAAACGTTGGGGAACGTCGATTGATATCTCTCGGCATTTCGGATATCTCTAAATTTATATTTTAAATTTATTTTTTGGAATTATAAAAATTTGACGTCATTTTTTGTCTTTTTTTAATGATTAATTTTGAGTTAACAACACAATAAAGTTTAAAATTAAAAGTTTTACAAACAGACTTTTAATGTGAAATCGACGGGAATCGTACAATATCGTACAAACAATGTCGATTTTCGCCAATATTGACAATGTCGGTCGATGTAGACTAAAGCTGTTACAATATCCCTGTGCTACTTGGGTTATTTGACATTTTCTGCATTTAATTCAAAGATTTTGACCAGTAACTGTAAAAGGTTTTAATGGTCACCTCTATAGGTTTTCTTCCACACTAAGTCCATGGAAAAAATTCCGTGCTTCCCCAAAGTGTTCGCTATATAGAGGTGGTCTTTCTTAGAGGTTTCACTGTACTATTTCTATTTTTTTATGTTTCACTTACATAAAAATTTAATTTAAACTTGAGGTGAAGTCTTGAGCTTATTGTCTACAATTTTATTACTTCCGGAACACCAAGTTTCGATTAAATATTATAATCTGGCAGGACATTACCAAGTTTGCCAACTATCTACACTTCTTAGGAAAATTTCTTCTAGTTGTAGCTAAGTTTATGTTTCAATGTATCATTCTTTGTTTTGCAAACCTCAATTAGAAATATTATTCATACCAATACATGTAAATGATTCGAAAGTTCATAAAAATTAATACTTTTTAACCGCACAGTCGTGGTAAAACTTTTAAAATCTTTGCAAAATTAACAAAATTTTTGAAAGCATTCGATTTTAATTGTTTACAACTCAATTAAATATTTTGCAAACACCGTGCTAGTAGGCAACTCTGTGATTCGAATGCACATAAACATTTGTATTGTCAATAAAAACCAAAAAATTAATAAATTAAATTTAAAGGTAGATTAAAAATGTGTTGTTGTTGTTGTTAATTTACGTCACACTAGAGCTGCACAATAGGCTATTGGCGACGGTCTGGGAAACATCCCGGAGGATTATCCGAAGACATGCCATCACAATTTTGATCCTCTGCGGAGGGGATGGCACCCCCGCTTCGGTAGCCCGACGACCTGCGCGCGAAGTCGAGCACTTTACGGTAGCACAGTTTAACGAGGACCAATACCGCACACCCTCGGTCCCTACGCAGACTGATCCAAGTGGTCACCCACCCGCACACTGACCGTAGCCAGTGATGCTTGACTTCGGTGATCTGCTGGGAACCGTGTCTTAACGATCAGTCCACTGCGGGACATTAAAAATGTGACTTCCTGCACTGTAAAAGATTTTAGTAAACCTAAATACCAAAATTTTTTACAGTGTAGTGGCAGCAAAGGTAATGTAATATTTAAATAAATTAGAATCCGAAGAATTTTGTCAATCACCAATTATAATAAATAATTTAAACAGATATACAAAAAAATAGCAGACGGATTGTAATGTTCTTATATTCTAATAAAAATTTTATAAAAATTATATTTGCTTGAAAAATTTCTGCTTCAGTTAACTTTCACTGGCAAAAATATTTCGCAAAAAAAATCAAATGTTCATGAGGGAAGATACAAACAACGAGGGAAGATACAAACAATAGGGGTAACAACAAACTGTATTAGCAAAACAAGATTTGTTTTGCTTATACAGTATGAATGCTCTTTACTTATGAAAACATATAATATATTTAATAAACTATCTGTAATACCATTATTGCAATTTTTTCAGTTTTTATATTTGAGTTTATACAAAAATTTACTTTATATATTGAATCTTAACAAATATTATGAATTTTTCCTCCTTGTTTTAGGAAAATTGTTCAGATCAGGAGTATTTTGGAAAAAATATTTCTGCTGCAAGTCGTCATCATGGGTGTTGCTGGTGGTATAGCTTGCACATACTTTGCTATATTGGACATAGCCCAAACATTTGTACCTGCTCAAGTCATTTTAAACAACACTGTCTCTTTGTGAACTCGTGGTACTAAAAACTGAACAGCAAGGAAAGAATATCATGAACAAACCATTAAGACACGGAAACGGTCCGATTAGTTTCATGATTTTAAAAAGATATAATATCCTCAATTTTAAGATGAATATTCTCTAACAATGCGAAAAAAAATGATAGTGATAAGTTGCGTCGAAATGATGTGTAACACAGAACATTTGTAATGATTATTAGATGTAACGCATTTTAAGACTGAAATATTTTATCACTAAATCTGAGGAAAACTGCTCGAGTTCTTATTAAGGTTCGCAAACTACAACCAGTTGAGCTGCGTAGGTCTGTCCATAAACTGTGAAGAACCTAGCCAGTTACGAAGAACAAAATAAACTCATAAGTTGAAATAATTGGAGATTGGATGCATCAGCTCCGGCTCTACTTTTTAAACTTTGCCCATTAATTGTTAAAGCATGCTTGCAAAGCTTTACCCATTGAGCATGAGGACTATCAACAATTTGTATGATCGAAGTTGAATAAAAGCTTGAAAAAATAATTTTTGGCTGAACAAGATATTTGACTGCTTTCTGTATCTAATTCTTGCCAGATTTAATTTAAATAAAATTTAAGATCAAAACATCTAGTCTAAATATTTGATTACCATGGCAAAGTGGTTTCCCTAGCAACATTGCATGAATCGCCTTTTTTTTAATTTTAAATAGCTCTAAGTAGATAAAAAAAACTGAGTCAGATTCTACTATTTCCATCTCCCATGTTAACCTATAGAGAATTATATAAATACCTACAGAGAATAACCTACAGAGTATAAAACTATGGAGAATTCACTATTAATATTTTCTTCTATTTTGTTTATTAAAAAGCCTTTTATGGAACTTAGTTATTTTATTAATTTTTAGTATATTCATTTTTGAGTTATTTATTCATTAACCATAATTTTGTTTACCTTATTCATTTTTAGTATGTACACCAAAAACAAATACTAGATACTGCACAAGGACTGCAAATACTAGATACAAATTTAACGCTTGTACATTAAACCTAATTTAAGATTATTATTGATATAGCGATAAAAATCTTCATTCCTCTGATTAAATATTTAAAAAATAATCTTTTATAGGTTATAACGCACACAATTACTTTAAACTTATTTAAAAATTCGGAGTTCCAACAGAAGAAGATTGATTATTTAGGGTTCCGTAGACTAAAAGAATTAAGAACTACTGCACAAATCAGGGAGCATAGTCAGATTTTTCAACAAAAATAAGCACCTTTTACGTACTTTTCAAGCACTCAAAAAATATCGAATCACTTTCCAAAAAAAAAAAAAAAATTCATAATTAAGAACTGTGCAGTAATTAAAATTTTTTTTTTCTATCATTTCAAGTTCTTAATTTATGAACATAAAATCAACAAAATTCAAAAACATTTTCACAAACTTCACATAATCATGATAAAATAACTAGTTCCTGATAAATATGGCAAAGAAAATTGGAAAAATCATGCTTTTTTTAATTATTTAGAACGACAATATTCACAGCAAAGAAAAAATTTCTTTTTAAACGATAGAAAATCAAGCTCTTTTTAAAAACACCAAATAAAAAAAAAATCATTTTTAAGAGCTTTTAAAAAATGTAAATCAAAAATAACACCTTTAAGCACTTTTTAAAAACGCTATCCCTGAAAAATGTATAAATCTATATTTAAAAAATATAAAAAGAGAAAGAGCAATAAACAAGTTGTGTGTTATAAATTTATTTTATTTTGAAGATTAAAAAACATGACATAAATGAATCACACAATGCTCCTAACTGGATGAAAAATGCAAAACAGGACATAAAAAATAACACAAAGATTAAAATATTCAAACTCTGGAGGAAAAAAAAAAGTAGAGTATGATAACTTATCTCTATTTACAAATCACTGAGATTCTACACCAGAGTTCTTGATTACATATCATAGGGAAAAAAAATCTATATACATGATTAAAAGAATGACTTAATACTTAACAAGTACAACAGTAATTGGCACAAATTTCAATACCTGCTTTTAAGAACAAAAGTGTTATTTTTTCAGCTTTTGAATACCTAAACACAAACCAAAATATTGAATAATAACTATTTTATGTATGCTTAGATAGTTAAAGTAGTAGTATTTTATTTATGTGACAAAGACGCACAATAGACCATTAGCGACGGTCTGGAAAACATCCCCGAGGATGATCCGAAAACAATTTAAATCTTCTAAAGATGGGGTGGCATCACACTTTGGTAGCCCGACAACCTACCATCAAAGTCAAACACTTTACGGTAGAACAATATAATGAGGACTAATAGAGTGCACCCTTGGTCCCTTTGTAGACTAATTAAAGTAGTCAAATAAACCGCTCATTGACTGCTACAGTGATCTACTAGGAACCATGTCTTACTATTGGTCCTTTAAGGACGACTGAGTTACAATTCAATTATCTTCATTTATTTTATCTAATCATTTATTATATTTAATTTTATCACTTAATTTATTTCATCATTTTGGTTTACGACCATTCTGTTTTATACAAGGCCATGATTTGGATTATTAGCTAAGTAAGCCGTCCAGGTTCTAAAAACTTTCAACTGTATCAATATTGATATCACATTTTCTTTGAGATGGAAAATGTCCAAGAATCTTATATTTTTTCTTAATCTTATATATTTAAGAGTTTTAACTTATCATTTATTATATTTAATCTTATCACTTAATTTATTTTATCATTTTGGTTTACGACCATTCTGTTTCCTTCAAGGCCAGGATTTGGATTATTAGCTAAGCAAGACGTCCAGGTTTTAAAAACTTTCAACTTTATCAATATTGATATCACATTTTCTATGAGATGGAAAATGTCCAAGAATAATTTCGACATGTGCTACAACTATATTTATGAATTACTTAGATAGGAAAATTGTCAAACAAAAAGTTATTTAATGTTAAAATCACCATAATAAAAAATGCCTTTAGTTCTAGTATTATTTTTTTTCCATTCAACTTGGTGAATTAACCAACCAAAGTTAAGAAGGAAAAAAAAAAGAATTTATCACAGCTGTTTTTACAAACAAAATATCAGCCCCTTGTAAAATGAGATGTTTGAATGTGTCACAAAGTTCAAGGATTTCAAACACAAAACAATGGAACACAATTCAGTAGATTTAGAAAAATAATTTAACTATCAGGGAACTTAGTTTTCTATAACCATTTAAAATAAAAAGAATATCTAAACAAAAATGTTACTACTAAATTTAGAGTGAAATTTCAAAACCTGAATTTTTTGTTTAAACATCATAAAGAAAAATATCTCATTCAAGGGAAAAAATTTGATTTTGAAATATATAAATAACTAATAGATGTTCTTTAAGAAATAAAACAAACTTAATTAAGTTCATTGTTGTTTAAATATTAATTTATAAAGAAAAATATCTTGTTCAAGAAAAAAAAAATATTTTTGAAAAGTAAAAATATAAATTCTACTTTCTAATAATTAGTTTTGAAATATATAAGTAACTAATAAACGTTCTTTAAGGAATAAAACAAACTTAATTAAAAACTAAATATTCGTGACAAATAAGAGGAAAGAAATTAAACTTATAATTTTAAAAAATAGCATTTATCTTAAAGTTATTACTTCCTAGCCATTGAGGTATAGTACAATAGAAGAATTACTAATTGTAGCTCTCAAGTCGCACAAAAAGAAAGTATACCTTATCTTTCTTTTAGGAGTTATGTTTAAATCAAAATCTTCTGGGATAATTTTGAAAAGCTATGTACAGAGAAATTTAGAATAAATCATGAAATTTCTGAAGTTTAAAATACTAGCAGTCCTGAGGAAGATGCTATATATTTAGCAGATATATAGTTTGTTTGATTTTAATTATTTATTAAATATGCCAAAGAACATAAAATATAATATTTACAGATCAAATGCACAGTAATCTGGTTACGGTTGACACCCAAAACAAATTACTGTAACTGCTATCCAATTTTTTTTTAAAAACTTACAAACTTAATTATAATAGATATCCCAAAACTATATTTAAATGTCCTGATAAATGAATTTTTTCAATTATTTTGTATAAATTTAAAATTAGTTTGAAAATTTAATAAAATTTTTTTATTTTACACATTATGTATGTGAAAATAACTATGATTAGCATTCTTACATTTTTTGAAGAATAAAATATTTATCACAATAATGTGGTTTAAAAAATGTTAAATTTATTCAACTTGCATAACAATGACAATTGTTGAATACATTATTTAAAATTTGAATATCATATATAAAGTTTTTATGTATCTGGAGCATTGTTCTGATATTTTTTTTTTATTTGTTTGGGTGTCCACAGAAACCTTGAAGTTAAAAACTATTTTTCCATTTGTACACAATTCAACTTCTCAACAATGCATAGAAAACATTCTACAAATAATAACATAAAAATAGCAGGCATGGATTCAACACTTAAAGTTTAAAAAAAAAATTTAATTCTGATAACTACTGAGAATAGAGTCATGAAAATAATTTTACAAACAACAAGAATAGATTTCTATGGGATGAAACATTTAAAATTTAAATTTAACAGATTTATCTACAAAAACAACAAATTATCATCCCTCTATTACATCGTGAAACATTTTCTGCAAATGAAGTTATTCATAAATATTAAACCGTTTTTAGTGTTGAGCAAAGTTCATTCCAACGAATTTTCATCACAGCTGAGATATTCGGTTTCTCTTTTTCTGGTTTCTAGTTTAATTTCAAATAACCACGAGTTCTGAATATTAGTTATTTATATTTTTTACTATTACAAATAAGCAGTACATACTTTTCTCATAAGCCGGAGGCATATAATGAGATACAGTGAAATCTTAATAAATTGAACATTTGTGAAGTACCGATTTTACAGTTCACATAGATGTTCAACTTCCTTTTGTGGTCAACATAAAAGATCACACTGTATTAAATTGTTATTTATCACCAGATAGATTAACACTATGCAACAAAAAATATTTTTCCTACTTAATTACAAAACAGAAAATGACATGAAAAAATGAGATGACCACTTGCAAATTACCAATTTGATGGTCCATTTAGAACTATATTCAACTTATAGAGGCAATGATACTGTTTTTGTGCTTAATTATGCAGGTCAATTTAGACAGTTGATCAATTTAGAAGGTTGCATTGTATTAAATTGATTTTTATCATCAGACAGATTAATACTATAAATTATATATATTTCTCCCCTCCATGATGTTTTAATTGCATAACAGAAAATGCCATGAAAAAATAAGTTGACCACTTGTGAAGTACCAATTTGATGGTCCACATAGAAAGACATTCAACTTACAAGTGCTACTGTTTTAGTGCTCAATTAAGCAGGCCAACTTAGACAGGTGATCAACTTACAAAGTGATCAATTTAAAAAGTTACACTGTATTAATAGGTTAATGCCAGGTAACGAAAAATATTTATCATAATTCAATTGCCTAACTGAGAAACCATGAAAATAGTATAAAAAAAAATACATCACAGATACACTGGTACATAGATACACTGATACTATAATATATTGTATCAAACTGTAAACTAAGTAGCTTTTCAATGTCATTTGCAATAGAGGGATAATAGTGCAAAACATTAGTTTCTATACACTATGAATAAGACAACTAGTTTATATTCCAAATATTGCATAGTTTAATAAATAGTTTTCTGATATGCATTTCCAACAAACATTTTAAAGATCATTAAAATGCTTTGCACAAAGCTTTGCACTAAAAAATGCACAGTTTGCAATACCAACCAAGACAAACTGTAACCATGTGGTCAGTTTAAAAGTTAAAAGCCAGTAATGAAATAATAAACACAGTCAATGACAGGCAGTAATGAATTTGAAACAAAAATTTAGCAATGTCATCGATTTGAATTTCTTTTAAATCAATTTAAATGGTTAATATGTAGGGTGATCTTAAAACTAAGTGAATAATGTTTAGAACTCTATAAGAACTAGTAGTAAAATTTTTTTGGTTTGACAACCAAATTTAGTCAAACAGCACAACTAAATTTGCTAACTATGCTAATCCATATTGTTACCTTATAAATGTTTGTAAGACATGCAAACTAAAAACAAAGAAAAAAAATTATAAATCATAAAAAAACTTCATCAAAAACTTTTTCTGTTTGAAAGCATTTAAAAATAATAATTTATACTAAAGCAGATTTGGTATTTAAAATTTATTAACTTCTTCTATTTTGTTCCATATGACTGTACATAAATGTCTCTCATTTGATCCGACCTTATCTAATAGTTTTCCTAGTTATAAAGCTCCTAACACTGTAATTTAATACAATCCTTCTAAACAAATTTAATTTTTACACAAACTTACACAGATAGATTATGATAATGAAAGTACTTACAAATGCAAAACAAGCTGACAAAGAAATTCATGAATGAACTTAAATTAAAATCCCAATCCATAAATCAGTTTACATTTTTTTGCTATCTAAACTAAATGAACAAACACTGAACACTTAAAATGCATGCAATCCAAAAGCAGTAAACAATTATTGCTACTCAGAGATCAATTCATTATAAAAATATTTTAAGAAATTTAAGTTCTTTGCCTATCTTTAACACTTGAAAAAAAATCAAGTTTTTGATTGCATAAAATTTAATATAAATGCAACTAATGTAATTGCAAAAATAATAAAAATATTACAACACTATTCCAATTTTAGGCAGGCATTTAATTTATATTAGTATTTTAACTAATAAAGCATAAAATGGTTATTTAAATGAACCAAATAAATAAATAAAATGTAACTATTAGTTTAAACAATACAGCCCAACTTCCATTCAATAAAAAAAGTTTTTTGCTTAAATAAATATACCATGAATTACAATTAAATATAATTAACTTTAATTCATCATATAGTATCAATAAAAATTATTTCAAAATTAAAATAAGCAAAGTATTTAAAATATATAACTGCATCTTGTTAATATGAGTAGGTTTTATTAATAAAACTTGAAATGGTTGATTAAATCTACTGATATTAAAACAACAAAATAAAATGTAGTTACGATTTTGAGCAATATCATTTTAAATATAACTTAATTGTAATTATTTCAAAGATGAAAACATTGCTTTCTCAAAATGAAAGCATGATTATCTATGAAACAACTGTCTTAACTTTTCTTTTTAAGAAGAACTCAAGAAAGATGTTTAAGCTTCTTTATCATGTGGGTGAACTAACTTTAAAAGCTTAACAATATATTGGAAAGATACATCAAAATTATTTAAGCTATTAACTTGATAACATCCAATAAAAATAAAAAAAAAATTTCTAAAAATTGAAAAATAAAGCTTTAACAAGATAAAAATGGATTGCAAAATATTTTTTAATCAAATATTAAACGCTTAAATTGAGAAAAAAAAATTATTTGACTCATTACTTAATAAAAATACATTTATCGATGACGCTTTAGTATTTCACTTCTTTCTTATGATGCTTCAGGAAAGACAATTCCTCTTACCTATTTTTTATCAATCCATAAATTTAATGATAAATATTTATTATCCCTAAATTATCTATAAGCTATTAGACTAGTCTGATATATATAAATAAAAGTTATGAACAGTAAAGTTTTTTCCCAACAAGATATATATTGTGCTCTTAACCTTGTAAAGTCATCGTAAAATGTGCAATTTCAAGACTCAAATGTACTGGCAAAACACATATATTGCATGTCTAAAATGTACAAGGTGGCCAATACGCTACAGCCACTTTGCTTTAAACATACATAATTAAATTATTGAGCATAAAAATTGCAACTATTTTAGACACTGCAAGCTGATCATTTTTAAGAACTTAAACAGCAATTATATATACAAAAAAAAAAATAATAAATCTTCACAATCATTTTATGCATACACTACAAAAATTTAATAAATAAAAATTATCAAAAAAAAATTCTTTAACTGTTAAAAGTAGCTCAAGAGATCTAAAAATCGAAAGTCGATTCGCAGTCATCCATGAAACAGTTCATAAAATTCAGTTTCTTCTTCATATACAAATGAATTTATCACTCATAACACACTCAAGTCTTTTTTATGTACAACTCACTAATTGATCACACCATCTTTTGGCATCAGTTGGCTGTAAACATGGATTATACAAACTCATTGGTCCCTGGTGATGTAAGAGGTTCTAGACTCTATAAAAAAAATAAAAGGATGGATTAGAAATTGTTTTCCTTTTCTTAATATTACAAAAACATTTCCAAAAAACCTTAAAAATGTATATACAAATATAGAGTGGTCTCTTTGTAAGAGGCTAAGCCATTCTCTATCACAGTAGTCACTCTATAAGAGGGCAAAAGTAACGGCCACTATCGGGCACAAAAAGCAACACAAGTGAAAATTAAAAAATTGTCTATTAAATGCTATACAATCTCCCCTTTTTGCATTGTAAATGCACCTCATGAAAATAACTTTATTGCACACTTGTTTCTTACATTTTTTTTTCTCATTTCATTTAATTAATTTTTATTAGAAATGAATCTTGGGATGCTTACCATATTTTCAGAAATGTTTAAAAATTGCCATACACTATTCAAAGATGCAAAATGTCCTAATTTTGACCAATTCCCTTTTCCCTCACAATCTTGGAATTTAGGTCAAATATTTAAGTTTCACTTTCTGATACTTGATGTGTTAAACAAATTTTCACACTAGAGCATGCCAGGGCTAAAGAGAATAGAAGGGCTAGTTCACTCCGCTCTTAGAGCTGAAGCTACGATTTCCCTCCTCATGACGTCACTGTGTCCACAGATCTCGGAAGATCGCAAGCAAAGATATGATAACTTTGCATCTTTCTCTTTGTAAAAATAAGTTAGACTTTTTCTGGTTATTAGCCTTCAAACTTTACGTAATTAACACATTATTTCCGTTCATAAACATAGTTCAAAAAAAACTTTCTTGGTTATTATATTAAAAAAATACCATTTTAAACTTATAAAAATGTTTTGCTAGTTGGTGAAAATGACACGATAAATACTTTATTTTAAAAAGTTCAGTTTTAACTTTAACTATTAAGAAAAATGAAGGCATATATCGACACTTTTTTTATCTACATATTCTTTTATAAAGATAAGTTAAGTTAAATTTAGAATCCCTGATTTTAAAATATGTCGTTAATAGCAATTTGTTCATACTTAATCATTAGGAAACATCAACCTTAAACGCTAATTACTGAAACAAAATAATAATTTAGGTTCATAATGACATTAGAAATTTTACAATTGTTTATAGACATTTAAATTTACGATGATATAATTTATAGATATTTAAATTGAAGAGAATATAATTTTTAAAAAAAATCATAAATATTTAGAATAACTACATTAAAAAATATGTTATGAAATTAGGAGAATTTCAACTATATACTATATATTTTATTTATACTTTTTACTTACATTTTAATTTTCTTTGACTTTATCTATTTTTTAATTCTTTTCACCTGCCTTTCTTTATGAAGTAACGAGGCGGTTTCTATTTAGATAATGAATTTTTATAAAAGTTCTTTACGACAGAATAAACGTATTGCTGTTTTATATTAACTGTGTCATTTCGGAATCCATTCTTTACATAGTTGTTCATTTACTTTAGGGAACACGCGAAAAATTATACTTTTTCCTTTTGTTTTTATATCAGAATTTTTGCAAGTTGCAATCGCGCAAACTGGCATTTCGATAATAGTTTTAAATTCTTGTAAATTCACTGCAAAAACTGAGGAAAGTCATTATAGAAAATAACAAATGTCTTAGAATATCTCGCAAAAAGAAATGATCCAATATTAGTTAGAGCTAGTAAGGCCAAACGCTCCGTTCTTGAAGTAAAAGTGCGAGCTTTGCGCCAAAGTGACGTCACTAGAGTGACGTCGGAGGATCGGCGCGGCGAGAGATACTTCAAAGGAGTGAACCAGCCCTTCTATTCTCTTTAGCCCTGAGAGCATGCACCGATTGCACAGAAAATTTCAAAAAGGTAAGAAATAAAGCAATAAAACGATTATAGTTAAGATATATAATACTGTGAATCTGTCAGAACTTAAATTATGAAACACTTTTTATAACCGACAAAAGCAGGGATGAATGAAGCAGAAGCAGTCTTTTAACATAAAAACCCCACTGAAAAATCAAAATCCAATATTTTTAAATAATTTAGAAACAGGAAAAGTTAAACTACTAAGCTACCTATTGGTCAGATTGTCATAAACTAAGATGCAATCTTAATAGTTTAAAGGGCAAACTGTCAATATGCTTATTAATTTGAGAAGACAATATTTAACAAACAATTATCAATAATATTATTTATTTAATTATATATTTAAGTAAACAATAAAACACAAAAACATATTTTCTGAATAAACATGTTACTATTAAAAGATATTTTTTTTGTAATTACAAGACGTGTCTTAGTTTTTTCTAAAGCAATAAAATTTCATTTATGAAGAAAAAACAAATGTTTTTTTATTATAAAACATGTCTTAGTATTTTCTAAAGCAATAAAATTTCATTCATCGAGAAAATCCAATATTATCTATCCCTGCTTTCTTTATAAATTTGGAACTTTATTATGTTAACTAAAATTTCACTAATTGTAATAAAATGATCTTGCTCTTTTTATAAATATTAATCCAATTTTCTCCAACAAAGTAAAATTTTACTTACAGAAAATATGTTTAGCATCAATTGTTTATAGAAATCCTTAGCTTAATTTTCTCAAATTCACTAACATATTACTTCTTGTAAAAAATGGTTTGCCTCCTTACTGTTTTTACAAATTCTAAAGCTGATTTTCTAAAATTTCACTTAACCCTTTGATGTAGAAATTTTATAAAAATATTTTTCATACTTTTTCATCATTTTTTTTATTAATTTAGGTCAAATTAAGGGGAAAATATTATATTCAGCATTTTAATAATTTACACATATGAAATACAGCATGAAATGCCAGTGTCTTTTACAGCATTAACGATAAAATCTCCCAAACATAGTTCAATTTCAACCAAAAATTTTTCAAATTTACACTTATTTAAATCTAAGAGAAACAGTTATTCAACAGTTATTCATCATTGATATTTCTTTTTTTTTTTTAACAAAATCAGCAATGATCGATTTTTAAATATGAATGAAAAAAAAATGTTCCAACTACTTTTTTTGGATTTTATATTTTAGTACAAACATAACTCAGTTCCCATATTTGCTATTTTGGTACACCAGTTGTACCAACCATCACATAAAGGTTAATAATAGAATTCTTAAATGAAATACAGCTCGAAGAGTTATTTTAAAACAAAAATTGCAACTTATATTTAATCAAAAATATTACAATATTTTTACACAGAGAAATTATTAATTTTTGAACAAAAAAATTGTGTAAGCTTTAAAAATATTTTTACTCTCTTGTGATTTTATTACTCTGCAATTTTCAGATGTTATATTACTCTATTATTTTAGATATAAATTTTTTAGTAATTATATTACTCTGAAAGATTTATTTTGACTCAGTTTTCTTTCAGATACACATAAAAAATATCTGATTTTATTTTATTTTTAGTTCCAAGTAGAAAATCACTTTCTGCCTTTATTAGCTACTTTTCATAGGAGTGATTAAATTGCTTTTAATTGATAAAACAATTTTTGACATTGCTGCAGCCCTCGAACGCACAATTATTTAGCCTGACGGTCTTCCTCTGAAATACAGCGAGCATTTGTTTCATGAATACACACAAATAGTTATCAACAATTAAAAGCCAATTCACAATATAAACCACAATGTATGTGTCAGGTGTCAAACACTGAGATCAATAAGATTCAATGTAAGATTCGCAGTAACAAAAACTTTGAACATAACATTAGGAAAAACAATTACAGCAGAGGTAATACCAAACTAAATAAAATTCAATCACTTACAGATGGATAAGACCTGGCCGGTTGATACTGGTTTTTCTCCAGACTAAATTGGTCTTCTGTAGTTTTTCTATATACTGGATTATCAAAATTCATACTGGTAACATTACGCCTTACATATTGCTTGTAAACACAAAACCCAACCTATAAATTAGAAATTTTTAAGAAAAATATAAAACAAGTTACATCTCTGATTTATATATATATATATATATATGGCTGTTTAAAGTTAAAAAAAATTCCAATCTTTAATGCCATATAAATGCAGAATAAAGCAACAATAATGATATAGCATAAGTAGAACAGAAAATTTAAATGACAATATTGATTAGTGACAGCACTTATCATGAATTTAGGCCTGAAATGTTAAATTAGTGCTGATAAAAAATATAAAAACTTTATTTAACTTCTAAATTGTTAGAGCACAAATAAAATTAAAATTCCCTTAACTGAAGTAGTTAGTAAAATTATTTTAGTTCGAAGAATAAGTCAACTTTAATTAATAAATTTATTTCATAGCTTAAGACTGCAAGAAAATGGAAACATGTGCCTAGAGGAAATATAAAATTTTTTACACAATATAACAATTAGTGTTCTTATTAGTTGCCAACAGGAAAAGATTTCTTTAAAGGAGGAGGGGGCAATTACTGAAGGGTTGAATTGGACAGAATAAAAACATGCATCAAGATGACCAGAATTATTATTTTTTTCAAAGTAGAAATATATAAACAGTACGATATTATATTGTAATTCTATGTAAAAAATATAATGTGAAAATTGAATAAATAATAAAACAAAATATGAAAAACCACAGAATGAAATATTTGAAAATTTAAATTTAGGTAATGCATACACAATATATAAAATAATAGTATAAAATTATTGGATTAAAAAGTTCAAAAAAAAAATATTTATTTATTTTTTTGAACTTTATAAAGTACATACTATGCATTAAGTTCAATTTAATGTAAAAAAATAATAATTTGCCCTGTCATAATTGTGTCTAACAAAAATATAAACGTGCATCATAATCTATTCAGCTAGTCATAAGCAGGTTATCCACATACATCACTAGTCACACAATTTGTTTTTTCAATCAAGTTACAATTTTTCAGAGAAAAAAATACAGTTTTAATAAATCATAATTTTTTTTGTATGTAAAACAAATACATTAATAAACTAAATTTTAAATAAAATGAGTACAAATGAACAAGATTTTAAATAAACCAGAAGTCAGGATTGAATAACACAAGAACCTAAAAATATCTGTAAACTGCATTAAGAACAGCAACAACTTTTTGCACTCAAGGTTAATAAAAAAATGTGTTGAAAAATGAATTTAATTCAACAACAAAAATAATGTAACAAAGAGAGAAAAGAAGTCAAAGATCATTAAGTTAATATTGTGAAAGGGAAAGGTCACGTATGTTTGTTTAACTCAATAAGGTGAACTGCCTGAGGAGATAAATAGGATAAAAGTTGCAGCCTGTAGGAAACCAAAGTTGTTGCAAAATTTTTTTCAAAATATTGAAAAATAAATAAAACTTTAAACAAAATTACATGCTGCTCAGAAAGAAAAAGGACAAATTTTTAAGTAAAAAACTTGTTCGAAATTACATCAGCAACAAAAATACTATCAATTTATATACTAGTTTAAGTATTAATCACAAAATACTTAAAACTAATGCTACAATAAGAATAAGAGCCAATTTAAGAAACTTTTTAAAATTAGAAAGCATGTTTCAAACAACTGAAACCATAAAATTAATCTTAAATTTTTAATTGACTTGTAATAACTTTTTATTACAAAAAATGTTTCTTACTACTGTTAAATTAAGATTAATTAAACATAAGTGAAACTTTAACATTTTTTTTTTCATTTTATAACAAGCTTCAAACAATTGCCAAAATGAAATAAATCACAATTGAGTTTTTTTTTAATTTTTCGCAACAAAACAGGTTTTTATATTAAATTTTTAAGCATTCTAAACTATTTTGAAATAAATAGTAGAGTATAATGGTAGAAAATTCTAAGATAAAATTAGGTAAATTTAAGAAAAACAGAATTAGAAAATACAATGAAGGCAGGAAGTTGTTAATAAAACACATTTTCTCACAGCAATATTACTTTATTAACAATTTATAGAAAACTTTAAGACATAAGAAATAAATTTTTAAAGACATAAGCCTTACCAAGGCAAGAACCAGGGAGAGGCCACTTAATACTCCAATAACAATACCAGCTATGCGCCCGGAATCATCTATCACATCTTCCATTGCCTGGATTGTTTCATTCATTAAGATGGACTCTTGAGGGGATAGTGTAACAACCATGGTAGAAGAAGAGGACTCGGTGCTAGAACTATAAGAGCTGCTACTTGTAGAATCTAGAAAAAGGAAACAACTGTAAATTTATATTATTCAACAACTTAACATAAGAGCTTGGGGAATTAAGCCACATTTTCAATTCGCTCAAGCATGTGCTTATAGATGATCATAAGGATTCAGAACCGCATAGGTACACATAACCGGAAATGCCATCATACGCTGCCAAGGGAGCTTTTCCATATTGAACAGACTCCTTATATTCATCCGAGGTAGGTAGGTACTCAGAGCCGGATTATACCTTTTGTAGGCCCTAGGCACAGCTGTTTATGGGCCCTCCCCTCTTTTCAAAATATATGCTAAAATTTTCTTCGTATGGAAACGTATTACGCCATTTTAGATGTATTAATTTCAGAAATGACTAAAAGGCGTAAAGCTTACAGTGATTTGTACGATAATTTCGGTTTTCTTGTTCACAAAAATTTGTCAGAATCTGAGATTAAACTAAAAGCGCAAAATTTGGTGAAAATTTACTCATCCGATTTAGAGGAAAACTTTGTAGATGAATTTTTACTATTTTCAAATTTGTATGAACATAAATCTGCACAAGAAATGTTGAAGGCTCAAATTAAAGATAAACTTGTGAATACTTTTCCTAACGTTCACATTGCATTAAGAATATATTTGTCGATTCTTGGATCAAATGCAGAAGGAGAAAGATCTTTCTCCAGATTAAAATTGATAAAAAATTATTTGCGTTCAACAATGAATCAAGATCGTTTGGCATCGCTCGCACTTATGTCTATTGAATACGACATTTTGCGTAGTTTGGAATTCGACAGCATAATACAAGATTTCGTTGAATCCAAAAATCGCAAAAAAGTAATATATTAGATCATAAGATTCTGCAAAATAATTTATTACCGAAAAATATTATATTTTTATTTGTATCTTCATAATTTTGTGCAAAATACACTTGTTGTTTTTAAAGCTAAATTATTTTTGTCAACAAATTTTTTTCTCCCAAGTTTTTCGTAGGCCCCTGAATTTCGTAGGCCCTTGGCATGTGCCTAGTGTGCCTATAGGTTAATCCGGCCCTGTAGGTACTTTATTTACGTTTATACGTAGGTAGGTATTTCATTTATGTTATGTTTATGATCATCTATAAACAAAGCTTGGCATCTATAAATAAGAGCAAAAGCATCTATAAATAAGGGTTTGAGGAATTATAAGGATAAGCCACATTTTCAATTTGTTCAAGAATGTATTAATAGATTATCATAAGGATTGAGAACTGCATAGGTGTACATAACCAGAAATGTCATCATACACTAGCACTGGAACCTTTAGATCATGAACAGACGCTCAATGTTAATCTGAGGTAGGTATTTCATTTACATTACGTTTAGGATTCGAAGACATACCATCAAAATTTTGATCCTCTACAAAGAAGATGGCTCTCCTGTTACGGTAGAACAGTTTAACGAGGACCGATACCGGCACCCTCAGTCCCTATGCAAGCTAATAAAAGTGGTCAGCCACTCACTTACTGACTGCGGCTAGTGATGCTTGACTGCTGTTTTACAGGGAACTGCGTTTTTATGACCAGTCCACTGTGGGACACTAGTGTTCATTTGAGCTGTTACTTTTATCTATCTAAATTATCTTAATTTTGTGTTTTTGAATGATTATAATTGAAAATTGCACTAAATTAGTAACAGAAATAGTAATTTAGAGACTTTATGACCAACTTCACAGACCCTGCAAATCTCAATCCATATCCCAAGATTATATAATGGAATGTTAAAAGTTTATATAATGGAACCAAGGACATCTTGGACAGCCAAACTCCAGAAATGAAATGAAAATTCACTAGTTTACTAGTTTCAGTGTACACCAACTATTAAAATCTTGTTCATACTGAGATGGTTTAATCTTATGAAACAGCAAATTCTATAAACTGGAAAAACTTATGAAAAAAAAGCTAAACCTTACAAATACACTAAAAGCTAAATTGATTACTACATTTATATTTTATAAATCTACATTCGACATTTTAATTAAATTAAAGCTACATTTTTTTTTTAAATTTATGGATCGAGTTTAAAATATTAGAATCTTTGTTTGATTAGTAAAAATGATTTTAAAATCCAATGATTTAACTAGTGGTGGACGACACTGTACAAGTTGACTTAGATCTTTTGTTCTTACTAGAGGGTAGTTTGGCAATAGTTATACAGAAGAGCACTTAAAAAAATGTGTAAACTAATAGTTGAAAAGAATATTCTGTAAAAAAGAATTTTCAGTAGATTTAATAAATTATTTGTTGATCCAATAAACTATATAATATTCAAACAAAAAGAAACCATAAAAACATAATTACCCTATTTTAAAAGATAAAAAATGTCTTTAATTATAAAATCTACTTAATCAATTGAATTATAAAAAATAAATATTTTTTCTTCGAAGCAATTTAAGTCCACATACTTGGCAATATTTTGAGACAACTATTATCAGTTTTAAACATGTAAATATATTCGAATTAATAACGTAATTATCATTTTCTAGTTTAAAAAAATACTATGCAAGAGATGTTGAAGAGTACTTGAAGAGTGTTTCATACACTTGAAAGATAAAGAGCTGCAATTATCAAGATAAGTTTTGTAATTTCATTCTATGATACTTGACTTTTATAGAAACACTTTCAGTTTATCAAACTGCAAAGAGTAAAATACTTTAATTCAATGATAAAAAAATATTGAGGCTCAATTCCCCATTTTTATTATTACTGTTTTTTTTTTTTTTAATTAGCTTTTAACTTTTTAAAAAGAGTATAAATTTAAAGCATTTATTATAAATTTAATTATTTTTTAATCAAATATTTAATCAAATACTTTTACTCAAATATTAATCTACATAAAAAATAAATTTGTATAATTATTTGTTTCTGTTATTTGTTAAATAAGTGTAAAAAGAATTTTGAATTTAAAAGCATACAAATTTTAACGTCATTTATAACAATATCATTTTAAATTACAAAAATCAAAAACTTGGACAACACTGTTCTACTAGTTTTTGCAAAATTAAATTAAAAAATAACTTTTATGATACGATTATGATACAAAAATGAAATTAAAATTGAGGAATCAAAAATGTTTTCGACTAACGAACATAACCATATTTTTGTGATGTCCACTGACCTTTTGCACGTCAAGAATCAAAATTCGTTAGATTCATTATAAAAAAATTTTTTACAAATTTGTTAATTCAGAGGATTTTTCTTATTTGATTTCAAAATTTAAAATATTGTCTTGAGCACAAATTTGGCATATTTTGGGTTTGTCCTATCAAATTAATATTAAAACTTATGCAAAAATGCAATCAAAAGTTATTGAGCTGTTCTTTTTCTGCATGTAAGTGTGAGTGTACATAAACTACATTTTGCAAGATGTTTAAAACTTTCAAATTAAGAATAGAAAAAAGTAAAGCAGGAAAACATTATCGAAACATGATATGGCCGGACAGTGCCTCTGATAGCTCAGCAGGCTCAACAATTTATTTGCATAAATGAAAGTAGATGAAGTGAACCACGTTATAGTAAACTTTCAAAGGACCGAAATTTTGGTCCGCTATATACGGTATAAGAATTAGCGTACAATAAGTTTGCATTAGGGTTTTTCTGAAAAAATTCAATTCCTATTTTGAAAAAAATGTGACATAACAAGATTTTTAGAAGAACCTGTTCAACATATAGTTCCACTGAGTTTATATGCAGTTAACACATTATTAAAATATGTACACAAACTCATAATATTTCAATGTATTTAAATATATATGAGGTTCTAATAATAATGATTGATTTAATGCATGTACACAGACTACATTGCACATGTGATTTTTTTAAAAAAATAAACAAATAGTTATGCTGTTTATTAAGTTTATAAATTTGCAATACGATGTTAAACATTTATTATTGTAAATAAATGAATTTTAATACTGTTTATAAACATAGCTATTTATTCACAAAAGAAAGAAAATTAAATTACTAAAATAGTGTTTGATCTTAATTAAATCTTTTTCAAAATTATCTTAAAAATTCATTTCACATTTACAATAGTTACTTTATAAAAAATTAATTTATTCCATAAAATATAAAAGTAACATTCTTAAAGTCGACCACAAATATAAAATTACTAAAAAGGTAAACAAATGCTAGAAATATTTCTAATTCCATTCAAGCATCGAAAAACAAATTCAATAGTATATTGAGTAATGACATGCTGTAAAGAATTTAGAAACAAATAGAAAGAAAGAAAAAAACATATGATATTGTGCGCAATACAAGCTTAGCTAAGAAATAGAATGCAAAAATAATTGTAAAAACTTTTACAAATAATTAAACATTTTTTTCTTCCTTTTTTTGAATATTTCATTTTAAACCAAATAAAAAAATATGTCTCATTTATTTCTAATAAATATATTAAACTCAAAAACTATTTAGCAATAAAAATAATTAATTTTTGACCTAGATTTAAAATAAATGTGAAGATAGTGTCAAAATATCAATAGAAATTTATTTTAAACTAGCAATATTTATTCATAAATGCTTGCGTCGAAAAAGTATGCAATTTCTAACACTGCACAGCAAAAAAAAGAAGCAACAACGAATACAATGTAGTCAAATATTGACAAACTTTAACCAAAATATGCAGTAGTAACAAAAAATGTGTTAATTTTTATATTTTATTGCTCTTCGTCTTGCGTACAAAAAATTTAGGGATGGGAAACTGAGGGAGAAGAAGCAAACAAGAAAAAAAATGATTATGGCTACATTCCACTCAATAGATGGATTTAAAAATCGGTATATGTAGAAATTTCAAAATTACCGAAAATGAAGGGAAAAAAATCAGGCCAAGACAGAAAAAAGTTCATAACAACCAATTGTTTTGGTTCACTATATTGACAAAAATATTATATGTGTATAGCAAGGAACAGTAGCAAACATTGAGTTCACTATATCCGGGAGTTCACTATAAGCCGTTCACTATAGTGGGGTTTGACT